GAGCTGTTGCAGCCAATCTTGATTCTGCTGTGATCAAAAGCGCCAAAGTATCCTGGATTACGACAAGTCTTGGATCCTTGCCAAAGCCCCGGCCAAGACGCCCGTCACCTTGGGTCTGGCCTTCACTGTGCAGTATGTGCAATGGACAGAAGCGGTCAACACATTCAAAGATGCAAGCCCTGGTGTCTGAACACTATGTGGCTAGCCATGTCAGGTTTTGTGTAGCACTTGGCCAAAGACTCTGCGCGCTGGCGCGGCAAGGAGCGGGTCTTTTGAATACCGGACTAGCCTCAAGGATTCACCGCAAGGCTTCGCAAGATATCATAATGTACACAACAACATCTGGATGTAGTCGGAATTCCTTATCGATGAGACCATGGTGCGAGGATTCTTCCCCCAAAAGATCCACTTCGCTTGCCTGGTCTGTTATGTTTTTTCATGCCCACCTAAGGTTACTGGCGTTTTTCATCTTCTTCTCTTTGCCACTCTGTCATATTCTGTTACTCATTACATCTTACCAGTAGTACCGCGCAAGGCGGTGGCGGAAGTTTCAAAAATAGGAAACCTATAGGAGAGGTTGGTGGTTGTGAATCACGGATGGCAGAGCGAATCCACTGATGGGCCGACAGGTGGGTGGAGTTGTCTTTAATGGTTGTAATGGTTGCACACCTTGCCACAACTGCTGGATGTAGTGTGGTGTAGCGCAGCTGTAGTTGTAGTTGTGGCTGTAGTAAAGTGTAGCGGAGCTGTAGCTGTAATGTAGTGTAATTAGTGTATTTGCAAGTGCAGTTGCTGTTGTAGTCGTGGTGTGGTGTTATTAGTGTAGTGCAGTGTAGTGCATTGCAGTGTAGTGTAGTGTAGCATAATGTAGCGTAATGTAATGTAGCGGCAGTTGTAGTTGCAGTTACAGTTGCAGCTGCAGTTGCAGTTGTATTTGTAGTTGTGGTGTGCTGCAGTGTAGTTAGTGTAGTGTAGTGTAGTTGTAATTGTAGTTGTAGTTGTGGTAGTAGTAGTTGTTGTAGTTGTTTGTGTAATTGGTGTAGTGTAGTGTAATTAGATGTAATTAGTGTAGTGTAGTGTAATTATTGTAGCGTAATGTAGCGTAGTATATTTCCATTTGTAGTTGTAGCAGTAGTGTGGTGTAGCGTAGTGGTAGTTGAAGTTGTAGTTGTAATTGTCTATCTATCTACATATCTGTCTATCTGTCTGTCTGTCTACCTGCAAGCTTGAAAACGCAGCAATTCTGCGAGACGTTCTCAATTTGTGAATTTGACAATATCCAAAACGAAGCAATTCTGCGAGACTTCCTCAAGTTTTGAACTTGGCAACATCAAAACCTATAATTCTGCGCGACTTCCCTCAAAAATGGAAAGTCGAGTGCAGAGCTGACGGCCTCGTGCCAATGCGCTTTGCGTTTTTTTCACTCCATCTGTCTAAAATGCCACGCAAAAGTAATGCCAAGTCATACGAAGTCCTGCACCTGTCACGCAAAATCATCTTCCCAAACCTGAAGATCTCATGCTCCAAAATGCAACGCCTGTCAGAAAAACAAGCGCCCTGACCTCCTAACATCTCTGATGAACATGTCTCTTGTACTGCGCCTGCCGCGCGAAATGCATCTTTCCAGATCCTCTTCAAATGCCCCACGCCTGCCATCGTTTTTGGAAATGCTACAAAACCCTCACGTTTTGCTCACTTTTGACAAGGTGCACAATCCCTTGCGCCTGCTACGCGAGACGACATCTGAACATCCAAAAGTGCTCCGTACCCCTTCAGTTTTTATACACTTTTTTTGGTTTCGAAATGTGCTTCGCGCCACAACAGCGTGCACTTTTTCGACGTCTCAACTTCCAAAAGTGGTCCGAAGCTGAGGTGTTTTGTACATTTTGACTTGATGACGTGCTTCCCGCCACAACGGCGTGCACTTTTTCGACATCTCAACTTCCAAAGTGTTCCGAACATGAAGTGCTTTGTACATTTTGACTTAGAAATGTGCTTCGTGCCACAACGGCGTGCAACTTTTCATCTTTCATCTGACCACATGGCTCCGCACCCGCCGCTTTAGCGAGCCTACTTTTCGACCCTCCGGAGCTTTTGGGCGTTCAGATGTCGTCTCGCGTGGCAGGCGCAAGGGATTGCGCACCTGGTCAAAAGTGAGCAAAACGTGAGGGTCTTGTAGCATTTCCAAAAACGATGGCAGGCGTGGGGCATTTGAAGAGGATCTGGAAAGATGCATTTCGCGCGGCAGGCGCAGTACAAGAGACATGTTCATCAGAGATGTTAGGAGGTCAGGGCGCTTGTTTTTCTGACAGGCGTTGCGTTTTGGAGCATGAGATCTTCAGGTTTGGGAAGATGATTTTGCGTGACAGGTGCAGGACTTCGTATGACTTGGCATTACTTTTGCGTGGCACTTTAGACAGATGGAGTGGAAAAAACGCAAAACGCATTGGCACGAGGCCGTCAGCTCTGCACTCGACTTTCCATTTTTGAAGGAAGTCGCGCAGAATTATAGGTTTTGATGTTGCCAAGTTCAAAACTTGAGGAAGTCTCGCAGAATTGCTTCGTTTTGGATATTGTCAAATTCAAAAATTGAGAACGTCTCGCAGAATTGCTGCGTTTTCAAGCTTGCAGGTAGACAGACAGACAGATAGACAGATAGGTAGATAGATAGACAATTACAACTACAACTTCAACTACCACTACACTACTGCTACAACTACAAATGCAAATATACTACGCTACATTACGCTACAATAATTACACTACACCACACTATACTAATTACATCTAATTACACTACACTACACCAATCACACTTACAACTACAACAACAACGACGACGACGACGACGACGACAACGACAACGACAACAACAACAACTACTACTACTCCTCCTACTACTACCACAACTACAACTACAATTACAACTACAACTACACTACGCTACACTACAGTACACTGCACTTATTACACTGCAGCACGCTACAACTACAAATACAACTACAATTATAACTACACTACACTACACACAACACTACACTGCGCATATTACATCGCATAACACTGCAACTACAACTGCAGCTACAACTGCAACTGCAACTACAACTACCACTACATTACACTACACTACACCTACCACTACATTGCACTACACTACACTACGCTACGCCACACTACACTACACTGCACTACACTACACTAATTACACTGCACTGAACTACAGCTAAAACTACAATACCTTACACTACACTACATTAGACTACACTACACTACACTACACTGCAGCTGCAGCTACAACTACAACTGCGCTACACCACACTACATCCAGCAGTTGTGGTAAGGTGACCACTGCAACCATTGCAGCCATTCCAAGAAACACAACTCCAACCACCTGTCGGTCCATCAGTGGATTCGCTCTGCCACCCGTGATTTACAACCACCAACCACTCCTATAGGTTTCCTATTTTTGAAACTTCCGCCACCGCCTTGTGCGGTACTACTGGTACTATTATTAATATTTCTCTTTTACTGCTTGTATCTTCTGGGCGCCATGGGCCTCTTGTGCAGAGGTCATCCAATGGTCCAAGTGTTGGCCCAGCAGTTCCAGGCTCGTTCCTCCAGTTCCTCCCGGAAGTTCCTCCCCTTTTACCAGTCTTTACCTACCCGTTTTTCCAGTGTTTTTTGCATGGAGCCCCTGCGCAGAAAAAGGTTTGGTTGCAATGCAAGAAGCAACAAATAACAGTTGGGCAGAAAGGAGGTATTCGCATGCGATGTCCATGGGTGACGTCTATCAACTCAAAACAGGACATGTTCCACTTGACTAGACCTTCTCCAACATCAAACAACAAATATCAACAGATTATTGATGTGCACTGGGCATGCTGTTTCATGAAACTTGGGAGCAAATCCTGGGTTTGCAACGGCCGCTCCGCGCTACCTACCTGTGGCTGCGATGGCAAAAGATTGTGTCCCACATCATAATTGTCTCAATATGCCAGACAGCGGATTGACTCAGGCCAAGTCTGAAAAGCCCCACTCTCTTGGCAAGTAGTAAAGCAGAATCGTGCCTGAGATCAATCCAAATATGTCTGCACATGCAAGCAATGTTGCGTCAAGCACCATACATTATATGCCCCGAGATGATGGCTACAAAGCACAGCTGCTAGCCGCATTTGTCGTGGCAGAGCGACTCTGTCCTTGTCATGACAGGGGGCGGAACACAAGAGGAATGCTTCAGGCGACCATGTCTGCACTTTGAGCAAAACTACAAACAGTCCCAATAACGCAAGTCCATGTCGCTGGCTTTAAAATCAGGAGTTACTACTCTTATTGTGGCTTGTTGTGAAGAGAGGCAGCGAATTTTTCCTCACGTCTTCCCAACACTACCTCGGTACTTTCGCACACTCTAGAAGGACACGTTGCAAAACGGACTCGTGAAAGGGATTGCCAAATCAATCTTCCATTTTTCAGACTCAGTTCCACATGCAAAGAACGGGTCGAACCTGCTACAAACGAATGTATGTACACGTTGAAATCACTGCACCTCTGCAATGTGCATGCAGATGCGCAAATCTGTCACTAATTCAAACACAATTAAAAACAAAGCACAGTCGTGCATGAACTGGTCAATTCGGAGCTCCCCAAACTGTCCTGCTGACATGGCATGTTTCCGCCCCAGCACTTTCTATATCCAGCCAACACAGCTGCATTTGAACACAGAGCAGCGATGTTTTCACAGTTCTCTAGATATTCAATCCGATCGCACACGTCACTTGGAGGCAACAGCAGAGCGAAGCTGAGCGAAGCGCTGCATCGATTTTAAGCCTCCTCAGCCTTGATCGGCCCTCAGCTTTCCCTCGGAATTCTCCGAGGTGAAGTTGGAAGCGAATAGCATATGCCGAATTACTGAGGCATTGCAAGGCAGCATAGAGCGAAAACATTCAGAAGAGTGCAATCGGAAAAATGAATTAAAATGATTCCACATGTAAAATCATGTTGGTGCATGAGCATGCAACACGCTGCATGCAATGCATAAGTGGCAAGGTTTCATCCAAAACAGCTCTGTTTGATAGGCATCTTTGCCAGAACCACGTGAATTCTATGCGTGACACCGTGAGACCCGCTTCCTCTTTTGACTAAACGCAGCTCCGCCGTCTCACTACAATCATCAAAATACCTCCTGATCGGGCTCTAGATTCTTGGAACAACCGCAGACCGTGGCCTTTCATCCCGATGTTGTTGGTCTAAAAATACAAACAAGATCCATTTGAGCTTCGGAGGCAACAGTAGCGCCAGCATTCCTGTTGCAAGTGCCTTACATGAAGTGGCATGATTTTTTGAGATCTTTCTCTAGCAAGATGTAGGGACTGCATAGTTAGAAAGAAACTGCCTCTTTGGTGCCGCCCTTTGCGGTTCGAAGCATGGACTCAAGTCGCTGCCTCAATTTCAAGCAGCAATGTAAAGCAACAACTGCACAAGGGGGCGACAACAACTGCTGGATTCTGCAAGGATGCTCAGATTTGTCATTTTGAAAACAGAAGACACCATAAGAAACCTCTCTAGTCTTAAAGAATTCCCATCTTCGACCCCGAAGTTCTTTAAATGCATGATCTCTCTGGGTTTCATTGGCTGCAAGAGTCTGCAAGAGAACCACCCTCGGGCCTGAGAGTGCAAGTTTCGATTCTATCGAATTTGCTCAGTTCAGATCAGATCTCTCTCTACGTATCTACTGTCCTCTGTCTGTGTGTCTATCTGTCTGCCTGCCTGCCCGCCTGCCTGTCTGTCTGCTTTTCTGTCTGCATGCATGTGTGCGCGATGAATGCATGTATGCATGCCGTACTTGTATGAATGCAGATGTTAGTGATATATACATATATACACGTATGATAATATATACATGTACTAAATGATTCTATATGTAACCGAAGGAAGTTTAAAGTCAAACTTCCGTAGATGAGATAGATGAGATAGATGAGATAGATGAGATAGATGAGATAGATGAGATAGATATATAGATGAGATAGGTGAGATAGATGAGATAGATGAGATAGATGAGATAGATGAGATAGATGAGATAGATGTGGTAAATGAGATAGATAGATGAGATAGATGAGATAGATAGATGAGATAGATAGGATAGATGAGATCGATGAGATAGATGAGATAGATAGATGAGAGAGATAGATGAGAGATGAGAGATGAGAGATGAGAGATGAGAGATGAGAGATGAGAGATGAGAGATGAGAGATGAGAGAGAGAGAGATAGAGAGAGATAGATAGATAGATAGATAGATAGATAGATAGATAGATAGATAGATAGATAGATAGATGAGAGATAGATAGATGAGAGATAGATAGATGAGAGAGAGAGATAGATGTGAGAGAGAGAGAGATAGATAGATGAGAGAGATGAGATAGATAGGTGAGATAGATGAGATAGATAGATGAGAGAGAGAGAGAGAGATAGATGAGAGAGATAGATAGATGAGAGAGATAGATAGATGAGAGAGAGAGAGATAGATAGATAGATAGATAGATAGGCAGATAGATAGATAGACAGATAGACAGATAGATAGATAGATGGATAGATGGATAGATGGATAGATGGATAGATGGATAGATGGATGGATAGATGGATAGATAGATAGATAGATCGATAGATAGATAGATAGATAGGTAGATAGATAGGTAGGTAGGTAGGTAGGTAGAAAGTCAGAAAAAGAGAAGGAGAGAGACAGAGAGGAGACCTCAACCACCTTTCGGTCCATCAGGGGATTCGCTCTGCCATCCGTGATTCACAGCAACCAACCTCTCCGATAAGTTTCCTATTTTTGAAACTTCCGCCGCCGCCTTCTGCGGTACTACTGGTATATGTATATGCAGTATGCACGCAATACACAATATACATATAAATTTGTGTATGTACATGTAACTTATATATCTTTTATGTATTACTGTGTATGGCTGTATACGCAATTAAAAAAAAACACACATATATATATACATAGAGAGAATATATATATATACATATACGGATAGGCAATATACAAACACACTATTTGTACATGTAGATGTAAGTACATACTCGCGCGTCAAATGGTTTTAATAAATATATATATATGTTGAAATTATGAACTACATACAATTCTACAACGAACCACAAATCACAGCGAATCTGCCTTGATTAATCATCTTCATGCTTGTCCCACACCCTGCTGCTGTCAGCAATAGGGTCTCTACCTCGCAGTCTGCTCGGTCTGAAGCTTTTCTTTTAGCGGCTCCACGATTCTGGCCACCTTCGCAACGCGTTAAAATAAGTTCACAAAGAACTGTCAAGTTGATAAGCTACCGACTCCGTCTGGGATTTTTTTGGTTTACGGGTGTGCAAACACAAGCTTGAACAAATTCCCTGTTGCATTTGCCAAAGCCTCAATCCAAACGCACTTTCATATTCAAAGCTGCTACCCACCAAAGAAAGAAGCAACCGATTTATTTTTTTCGGCTTATGGACATGCAAACGCAAGCTTGAACAAATTCCCTTTTGCACGTGCCAAACCCCCAATCCAAACACACTTTCATCTTCACAGCTGCTACCCACAAACAAAGAATGTGCCTCGACGCCTCCAGAAGCAGAATTGCACAAACTGCGTGTTTTGCCCAGTGCATGTACAGTGCACGCACAGTGCACGCTACAGTGCACGCCACGGTGCACGGCCACAAAACGCTGTAAATACCATGGGATTAGCGTTTTTGGACAATTTACAGAAAAAATGCAAAAATATTGTCTTTTTTGTGTTTTCTCATCATTTTTGCAAAAATACGTGCTATTTACAGCGTTTTGTGGCCGTGCACTGTAGCGTGCACTGTGCGTGCACT